AGGAGAGATGGCTCATCTGGGGGTTTCCAGAACATTTCCAGGAGGCTGAGGGGAAGTTTTCCACAAAACCACATTCACACCCTCTTCTGCCTGCCCTACAACCAGCCAAATGACCCTAAAGAAAAATCAACAGCATGAAAAACAAGACTTCTCCTCAAAATGGGCTTCTCAAAGGCCATCTCTGTAAAATCTTTACACTTCCCCGACTGTCTAGGATTAAAAGAGCAGCCTCCCACAGGGCAGAGAGGAAACAGACAGGGCCAGGTAAAGAAACTTCCAGAGTCCAGTGGGCAAGTCTGTCCTTCCCAGACCTACATCCTATGGCTGACCCCCTGGAGAGCCTGACAGGCCCTTCCGGGAGCTCACTTACCAAGAAAGTTCAAGCTTTTCCCACAGAACAAGGTGTTCCAGAGAAAAGCCACGTGATCCACTCCCGTGACGCCTGAACACATGACCTGGTTTCCCAATTCTGGGTCCTAAAGCTTCCCGACGCCCTCTTACCTCAGACTCAACCTGAAGCTGAAGCATACACACCATCTCCCCTGTTCCCCACCCCACTATACCATGTGCCTGATTATCTTGTCAGAGGCATAAGAAAGTACTCCTTATCCCAAATGTCTGTATGACCAGCTGTAAGATCCCGTGTGGAGCTTTAGGAAGAGGGCACCGACTATCTAAGGCTACCACCCATGTCTCCAGAGCACTTGGGGCCTCATGGACCCCCACCAACTAAAGTCCTCCCTGCATGCCAGGCAGGTCACCCTGCCTGTGGACAGAACATTCAGCAGCCATAACCACAGCCACCACGGTGGGCACTGAGCAGGTCAAGTTGAGCCTCACAGCCTGAAACACACAAAGGATGCTTGAAACTGAAATGGGGAGGATCTCATTCTCAATCTTCAAGGAAGATGGCCTCAACAACTCACCTCCACCTGGTTTGGACCTCACTCACTACAGGACAGCTCTTACGTTCAAGGCACAGTGAACCCCAAGACTGTAAGTGGAATAGGGGCTGTGGGGGGCTTGAGGATAAGGAGTGGGAAGCTAATGTTCAATGGGTACAGAGTCTTTGTGTGGGATGATGGAAAAGTCCTGGAAATGGATACTGGTGATGGTTGGATAACAATGGGAATGCACTTAATGTCACTGCTGTTGTCTGAATGTTTATGTGCGTCCACATTCATATGTTGAAATCCTAACCCAAAATGTGATGGTATATGGGGCGCCTGGGTGGCTCAGTCGGTTAAACGTCCGACTCCGGCTCAGGTCATGATTGCACCGTCCGGCCCGTGAGTTTGAGCCCCGCGTTGGACTCTGTGCTGACAGCTCAAAGCCTGGAACCTGCTTCGAAGTCTGTATCTCCCTCTCTCTCTCTGCCCCTCCTCCACTCACGCTCTGTCTCTGTCTCTCTCAAAAATAAATAGACATTTTTTTAAAAACTTAAAAAAAAAAAACACGTGATGGGATGAGGAAATGGGGCCTTTGGGTATGATTCATAGGGGTGACTCCACCCTCATGAATGGGATTGGCACCCATCTCATGGAGCACCCCCCCCCCATCCTTTCTGCCATGTGCAGGTATAATGCAAAGTCAGAGACCTGGAAAAGGCTCTCACCTGCCCATGCTGACACCCTGACCTTGGACTTCCAGCCTCCAGAACCATGAGAAACACATTTCTGTAGTTTTTAAGTCACTCAGTCGGTGATATCACGTTACAACGAACCCAACGGGCTAGACAGCCCCTGAACTGTACATTTAAAAGGGATAAAAGATGTAGATTTTATATTATGTATCTTTTACCATAATTAAAAATAAAAAATATAAATATTTAACTTAAAAAAAGACTAAGATCAGGGGCGTGTGGGTGGCTCAGCCGGTTAAGCGTCTGACTCTTGATATCGGCTCAGGTCATGATCTCGCAGTCATGAGATCGAGCCCCACGTCGATGCTTGGGATTCCGTCTCTCTCCCTCTCTCTCTGCCCCTTCCCCACTCACACTTTCCCTCGCTCTCAAAATAAATAAATATATATTTTTTTAAAGACGAAGATCAGTATCTCCCCAAATTTCACCAGAGACAATCACTATGAACATCTTGCCATACATCCTTCCAGAGACAAATATAAAACAGAGGGTATGATACATTTTACAAATAGCGCAGTTCAGTAACCTGCTTTTTAGAAATATATTTTTCCACAGGAATAGATGCACATCTGTACCCTGTATTTTCTGTGGCCACACAGTAATCCAGCATATAGATATGCGGGTCTTCCCTTCCATCCAGAAGCCGAGCGTTCCTGTGAAACTTTTGTGAGCCGAAGTGGTATACAGCGAAGAAGCAATTCCCATGAATTTGTATGGAAAAATGTTTTAGCACTCCTAGACCCCAAAAAGAACTTAGGCTTTTCCGACACCTCAGGACACATCTTGCTAACGGATACGTAAAATAAACTGAAACAAGCACAGGTGCTCACAAACCCAGTTCAAAGCTCTGAGGCTCGATGCCGACATGCTGAGTGTTGGGCCCAGGGAAGGAGCCTGGCGGGACCACTCTCAGGGCTCAGGTTGTACGTAGCCTCCACATTAGTTTGCTGCAAAACAAACACTGAACGCTATTTCTGCTTTTCGCCTATTTTCATAAAAGTGAAAATCCCCTTCAGATTTCTTTCTGTTAGAAAAAAACAGGGACAAAGGTAGATCTTTCATAAAAGCCAAGCAGCATAAAGGCAAAGAACTTTCAAAAAGCGAGGGATACCTGTACCATAAGAACAAGCTTCCTTTTGTTGGGATTTAGTCTCCATTTTGGTGGTGGTTATTATTACAAATAATGGTGCAAGGGACATCCCTGTGCACGTATTTTCCTGCACCTGTCCAATTATACCCTTAGGGTAAGACTTCCTACCAGTGGCATTGCTGAGTCAGGGACTCCCTCAAGAGGACTGTCAACCGAGACTTAGGAGTAAAACCGCACCAGGGATGCTGGATTCTGTCATACGAAAGTCTCCTTCTCCGTGTGGACTTCTCTTGGCTTTCACTTGGAGGTCTGTGACATTGCACTGTGGTTCAGGAAAGTGGGGACAGTCTTCCAAAAGACACCAGCTCCTCTCTCCCCACCACCCAGGCCTCCTCAGGGGACCCGCCATGCCTGTGTCATGAAGAGAAACGGGTACACAAGGAAGGGGGAACGTGGCTGGGCTAATCTCTACTGACTTCCCTTTTGCCAGCAGGGAAGACCACGGCCAAAGGCTCTAACAGGGCCCAGTGCTGAGTGCCCTGTGGTGCGCAACAGAAGTATGGACACATGAAAGATTCTCCTTTGTGAAAGGTTTTGTTTCTGAGTGGACGCAAGAAGAATGCAGTGGACTCTTCCTAAAGAGACCCAGGGGCAGAAGGATCTAGTGGAAGCATCTAATTCTTTACCCCGGAGATGGGGAAACTGAGGCCCCGAAAGACAATAGCATAAACATTTCAATAGTCTTTGAGTAAACCCCAGAAGCATCTCACACAGAGTGATTCAGCCGGCTGTTCAAGGGCAGAGCTTGAACATACCCCGAATTGTGGACGCCTCGTACAATTCTTACCCTCCTTACTTGGTATACAAAATTGAAAATTAAGATCACTGAGGCCACATCCCAGCTCGGTCATGGTCAGCTACGAACTGGAGCTGCTCCTACTGGCTCTCAAGGGCTGACTATGTACATCTCTTCCCGACTTAGTGTTCACGCCGCCATGTTGGTAACTTGAAATCAGCCGCGGTGGGAATACTTACACTATAGAAATCAACAAATACTACAAAGCAGGGCTTCCCCCAACCTCTAGAGAGTCAGTTGTTCAAAATGTATCACTGGTCACAGCTTAGGTGTGAAAGCCATGAGCAGATGAGCTGTTTCCTCTCCTCGCCTAAGGATAGCTTATTTCCAAAGCATTGGCCATTCATGGGCCATCATAATACCCGCTCCCAAATCCACCACGGCTGCTTCTATATTAATCAATGAGCAGCAAATGTCTGCCTGAATGCCTGCTCTGCGCCAGGCTCCTGTCTGAATGCACATCACAATATCATCGTGAGACAGTTACAGTTTCCATCTTACGGTTAGGGAAACTGAGTCTCAGAGACTTTAAAATACTGTTTACATTTACCGGTAAATGACTGCGAACTAAATCCTATCCTGGGTTGGTTTCCCCTGGAAGTTGACCCTCAAACAAGAATCTGAGTGCAAGTGGAAGAGGGCTGGGAAAGTGAGACAGGGAAGGGACAGCAGCCAGTGAAGGGAGCCAGTTACTAGGCAACTCTGACGGCACAGCACGTGCCCCTAAGTCACCCCAGCAGAGATGTGAGGGAATTGGGGTATTTATCACCTTCTCTCGTCAGTCACTGGTTGAGGCCAACGGAACATGGGAAGGATGCTGACAGCATCTATTACATTGCCAGGTATCATGCAGCCGAAAATGTTAAAACCACATTCAAACTGCAAATCCAATATTCTGCATTACTCTTTTAGAAATGAGCAGTTAGGGGCGCCTGGGTGGCTCAGTCGGTTGAGCATCCGACTTCGGCTCAGGCCATGATCTCATGGTTCCTGAGGTCGAGCCCCGCGTCTGGCTCTGTGCTGACAGCTCAGAGCCTGGAGCCTGCTTCGGATTCTGTGTCTCCCTCTCTCTCTGCCCCTCCCCTCCCTCTCTCTCTAAAATAAACAATAAAAAAAATAAAAATGAGCACTTAATCTAACAAACACAAAATCTCACAATCTAACAAAAAACAAAATCTCACAAATCTGAGTGCCCAGTATGGGTAAAGCACCATGCTGGTCAACTAAACCTATCTTGCCAAATCACTTGGTGTTGAGATGCCCAAGGACAGCACAAGGTAGCTTCTTGTCAAGTTTTATCAATGGAATGAATAGGCAAAGTCCTTCTAAGTCACTTTGCTCATCCCACGGGAATTAGCCAAGACCCCCTCCCCACCCCCCTACTTCTGGGAAAGGTTTCCTTCCCTGATTCAGCCGCAGCTGACTTGGGCAGGAGTTCTGCATCCTCAAGCTGTCGTCCCAAGCAGCCGTGCAACCTGTGATTACAGGCTCCAGAGTCTGCCTGCCATCCCAGGGCTGATCAAAAATGACCCACTGGACGCCCCACTGGCCGAGTCTGGAGGACGTCCCTGTTTACTGTGCCCGCTTCCCTCCATTCTCACACAGACATCTCCTCCAGGGGAACCCGGAGGCAGGCCAAAGAAATGAAACCAGCAATCACAGGCCTGTGGGAGCTTACCCCACCTTAAGGACTTATTTAAAATTCTTCTGGAGATGTGGGGAGGTGCTTAAATAGGGCAGTGGGTCATTAGGGTAAATCACTGGACCCTACTATAAAGAGTGGTGGCAGAAGCAGGGAGGTGGCAGAAAGGGACCGCCGCCCCAGTTCTGTAAACCGCGTGGTCGCAGCTCTCAGCAACTGTCTTGAAGACAGAGAGACTGGACGTCTTCTGTTCCGAGCACACTGCGGAGACCTGCCCAGCTTCTCACCCTGGGGGAGAGAAGGAGACACAAGGCAAATCCCAGTCCATTTCCTAGCCTCTCAGCAGAATTCGCTGGCAATCTCGTCCTGCCTCCACACCCCCTCCCGGTGAGGACGCTTCCTGCCCGAGTACCCGGGGAGGACCGAAGGCAAGAATCAGGCCAACGTTCTTTTGTGCTTTGGGACAGCCTTTGGCACTCCAGCGGAGGTGCCAGGATGTGCGGTCCTGGGCACGGCTCCAGCCAACTCTCTCGGCCATTCCTAAGCAGCTCACGCACGGAAGGCAGACACGAAGCTTGGCTCTGGGGCCCCGGAAAACAGACGAAGAAATCAAAGCAAAACCAGTGGGTGACTGACAGGCCCCAGGTAGGACAGCGCATCTGAGAACAGGGGGGGTTGAGGGACTGAGAAGAAGGTCGTATACCACTCCTAACTAACTTCCAAGACAACACAAACTGGAGAGAGGTCTTGGAGCCCCAAACAGAAGCAGTGCAGACATGCAGAGAGGCAGGCAGGCTCTGGAGCCCCCGTGGCAGAATGAGACCCCCTCGGGAAGGTGGGGATGCTGCCAGGGGAGGAACACAGGCACAGGTGCACATGCCCTTGCCCACGCAGTCAGGTGCAGAGGGCACACACCCCACCTTCCCCTGGAGGGGGGCAGGTCTGGCGGCTCCAGGTCCCCCGGCCTCCTTTCAGCCCGGCTCCCCGAAGATACCCCTCACTTTAACCGATCTCACCAGCACAAAAATAAGGGCGAGGAACATGGGATATATCTGGGCTACCTGCCCCCCGCCCCACTGCTAGATGATCCTGCCTCTCAGTACGGCACCCCTGCTGTCCTGTCTTCTGAAGGAGGGGCAGGACTCCCCGCTCAGCGTCCCCAGCACAGAGAATCCCCAACTGTCCCAGCCCACCCTCCCAGGTGCCCAGGCAGGCTGTATCTACGGCTTCCTCTCCTTCTTCCAGGGCAAGAACAATCTGCTATCTTTCCCAACCTACCCCACCTCTCCGAGCTCAGCCACCAACTGAGACCTTCTTGTAGCCTCCCACGGCCCAGCAGGCTGCAGCCGTTCCCAGGCGTCAGGCTGCCTGATCCAGAGCAGAAAGCTGGTGCCCACACTCACTTTGCCACTCCAGGGTCGCTGCTCCCAAGTGGGCACCTCCCAGGCTGACTCCACACTTAGTCCCTGGGACACTGCATTTGGACACAAGCTAAAAACAAAACAAAAACAAAAATAACCCTCAAAATAACCCATATCTCTTGGCGGTGAGAACTTTCTTTAATTCCTCAGACCACCTGCAGAAAAAGTTCCCAGGAAATAAAAGTGGATTGATAAGTAAAATAAATCCAACCCCAGATTCCTCCTCCAGATGCTCTGGCAAGAAGGCCCCTGGCTCTGAATCACAGCTGTTTAAAAGAATCATTGTTTCTAATTCTTTCCTCCCATTGTACCAAGATCAACTGTGGCAGGAACAGAGTCTCACTCCAGGATGAATTGTTATTTGTCAGCTCACTGGTTCAAACTTTCATTCATCACATTAAGGTACTTACTACAAACCCGGCCAGCACTAGTCACAGCCTCTCTCCTCTGGGAGAACCCGGATTCCGGACACCTGGGAAGCCTAGCGCTCAGCTCCTGCTGTCACTGAGGCGCAGAGGTGCTGTGAACAACCCAGCACCCACAGAGAGCCCCAGAGTAAGATGGAGCCCTCTGTCTCCCCGCCCGGCCACCTCGCCTCTCTGTGCTGTCCCCAGGGCTTTCCCAGCTTAAGAGCTGAATGCAAAGCAGGCGCCCGAAATGCAGAAGTACCCGGGTCGCCTGAGGCACCTGCCTCTCTTGGGCGAGAGAGAACGCGAAGCCGCGGTCCCCAACGACCTCAGCGCTAGCTCCGTAGGCGGGCGGGGAGACCGCAAAGGGGAAGTGCCACGAGGACCGAGGGCCCCGGGCCCCTGCGCCCTCCCGGAGGAGCCTCGGGCGCGCCGCCCGCCCGCGCTGGGTGTTGGAACCCGCCTTTGGGGAACCGTCCGTTGGGCAGGGAAGATGGGGACCGGGCTGGGGTCGGGCACTCCCAGCGCTGTCCGGGCCTGCCAGCCTTGCACCTGCTGCCCGGGCCCAGCTCACCACGGAGTCCCGGGGCCCCGAAGAAGGGGTGGGGGCGCCTTCCTGTCGCCGCCCCTGGCGCGGAGAGAAGGAAGGACCCCCAGAGGTCTCGGGGAAAGACGAGCTTGGGACCACAACTTTCTCCGACCAGAAGGTGGGCGTGCAGGGGTTGGCGCCCACGCGGCCCCCGGGGAGTCCGCACGCCCAGGAACCCCGGCGGTCGGGGGAGGAGGGAGGAGACCAGGGCAGCCGAGGACTGAGGCGCTGACCTGGACCCGGCTGGGAACACCGCGGGAAAACTTTCGGCGAGGCTGGAGGGAGGCGGGGGAGAGAGGACCGGCCCGCGCCCGGCACCTTGCGCCCCGCATCCCGCGCCCGCTGCCCCGCGCCCCGAGCCTTGCCTGCGTCCCCAGCCGGCTGCATCGCCCGCGGAGTTGAAAAGTGGGGGTGCCTCGGCGGGGGCGGGGGCGTTGCTCCAGCGCGCGCCTGGGTCAGCGATCCGCGGGCCCGGCTCAAATCCAGTCGGGCAGCGCAGGCGGCGGCCGCGCGATTGGGGGTCGAGCGCCCCGCCCTCCTCGCCTCCCCTCCGCCCCTCCCGCCCCCCTGCCTTTATCCGTCCCTACCGCGTCGGATCGGCCTCTCTCCCCGCCTTTCTCTAGCTCTCCATCTCTCCCCCGCCCCTCTTCCCTCGCCTTTCTTCCTCCCCTCCTCTCCCGCCGTCCCTCCCTCCTCCCTCCTCCCCTCCCCCTGGGGGGCGGAGTTTCTCCCCTCCCTCCCAGACAATGCTGGAGCTGCGCGTCCCCTCCTTCCCAGCTTGAGAGTCGGGGCTCCGGCTGCCGGCGTCTCTTCCGGGCTGGGGGTGGGGGCGACAGGGAGGGGGTAGGAGTGCAGGGGTGGGGAGGATGGGCTGGCTTCCCTCACCCCGTTCGGCCGCCGCCCTCTTCAAGCCGGATGGAATCTCGGCCCGAGCCCCTTGGCTCGCCCTGCGCTTGTGACAGCCACTCCCAGGGAACAGTCACGCTGCCCCTCAGAGCCCACCTCGAGCGCCCCGGATTCCCCAGAGGATGTGGGATTCATTTTCTAACCCTCTCACTCCCTTATTCCAAAAAGGGTTTGAGCTGAGCAGGGGCTAAGCAAGGCCCCTTCGACTGACGGGTGGGCAGACGTGACGGTGAAGGAGGCCAAGTTTCTTTGTCCACCTCTCACCTCCCTCTCTCATCCATCCCTGGACTTCCTGGGGCTCTCAGCACCCCAGCTGCGGGGCCCCTTTTCTGTTCCCTTCCTCTTATCATAATTCTCCCCCCACATACAAACCTCACCCCTGCAGGGTGAGTCTCCGTGCCAAAAAAGGGGGCCTGATGGTTAATGGGGAGCCAACCCCAGGGTACAGCCGGCTCTGCCCTCCTGGAAGCCAAGCATTCTTCACTAAATTCATTGTTTGGATCTTGGAATGTGTCTCCCTTAGAAACAATGTTATAAATGGTGATGTGCTTCCCAGCCCAGCCACAAAAGCCTTTGAACCCAAAATGCAGCTGTAGGGTGGTGCTCAAAACTGTGTCAGCTACCCTGGAACAAGGAGGCCACTGATCAGCGTTTTCTGGAGGGGAAAAAAAAATTATCTATTTGTACTATCCCCTTGACCTATAAACACAAAGCTCTCCCATTAATATCCTCCCCTACCCCTCAGCCGGAACTCTGTACTGGCAAGCTTCTTTGGTTTGCAGGTTGACATGAACACCATGGGGGGGGGGGGGGATGTATTGAGGACATGGCACTCGCTCTATGACCTCGAGGTCAGAACTGCAGGGAAGAGCTCTGTTAGAGGCAAATCCAGAGCCTGGAGGGCTCCCAGGAACCCAAAAGTCTTTTCTAAGGGGCCAGCTCTTCCCTTCCATCGTAGACTGGCCTTCCCTGCACCCCAGGCACATGACAGAGGGTGCCCCCATTTCCAGCAGGAGGGGCTGGAGCTCCCCTATGGAAGACGGCAGCCGGGTGAAGCTACAGACCGGTAGTCTCTTCGACTCCAGTCTCCCAAGAGAGCAGTTCATTGGCCCAGCTTGGGTCAGGTGACCACTCTATGACCAATCAACTGGGGTGCGGGACTCCTAGTGCAGAAATTGGGCTGCCATGTTCCCCGCCCCCAGGCTCTGTTTACAACACAATCCAGGGGTGCTTGGGTGGCCCAGTGGGTTAAGCTTCTGGCCCGGGGTTGGTGCGTTCCAGCCCAGCGTTGGGTTCTGCTGAAGGCTTGGAGCCTGGAGCCGGCTTCCAATTCTGTGTCTCCTTCTCTCTCTGCCCTTCCCTGGCTCGCTCTCTCTCTCTGAAAAATAAACATTAAAAAAAAAATTAAAACACAATCCATTCCCGTCTACTTATATTTTCACCTTGGTGAATAAATTGATTCAGTAGTTCAAGATACCAGAAAACAGGTTTTTTTTTCCCCCATCAGCTTCCCCACACAAAAGCCAAAGAAGAGAAAGGAATATGTTTTTATCCTTCCAGGTGGTGTAGGGACAATACCGCTGTAACAGGCTTAATACTTTGCAGATATTAAACTGACACATATTTTCTTGCCACCATCCACCTCTGGGGACATGGCCCCAGGGAAGCAGCAGATAAGCTTGTCTAGAACCCATTCTCCATTAGAAGTACAGTGTAAGCAACAGGTACAATGAAAACTTTCTAGCTATATTAAAAATAGTAAAAAAAAAAAAAAAAAAAAAAAAAAAAAAAAAAAAAAAAACAACAGTGAAATTAATTTTAATATATCTCATTTAACCCAATGTATTCAAAATATAATTTCAACATGTAAGCAATCTAAGGACATTATTCATGAGGTATGTTACATTCTATTGCTGCACGAAGACTGAAATCGGGTGTGTATTTACACTTCAGCACATCTCAGTTCAGATGTTACATTTTTATCAAAAATACTTGATCTGTATTTAGGTTTTATAAAATTTCTATCTGAAAAAGTAGAGTCACATACCCAGGTTGTTCCAAAGATACTTTAAAGTTACCCAGTAACGGGGGTATTTGGGTGGCTCAGTCAGTTGAGTGTCAGACTCTTGATTTAAGGGTCAGGTCACTATCCCAGGGTGGTGGGAAGGAGCCCCGCTCCGGGCACAGAGCCTGCTTAAGATTCTCTCTCTCTCCCTCTGCCCCTACTGTGTGCATGCCTTCTCTCTCTCTCTCTCTCTTAAAAAAAAAAGTGTTTAAATAAATAAAGTTACCCAATCACTGAATTTAGTAGTATCAGTTTAAAAATTTTTCCTTAATGTTTATATTTATTTTTGAGACAGAGAGAGGCAGAGCATGAGCAGGGAAGGGGCAGAGAGACAGTAAGAAACAGAATCCAAAGCAGGCTCCAGGCTCTGAGCCGTCAGCACAGAGCCCAATGTGGGGCTCGAACCCACAAATTGTGAGATCATGACCTGAGCTGAAGTCAGACGCTCAACTGACTGAGCCACCCAGGTGCCCTGAGTAGTATCAGTTTTTTCAATTTTAATTTTCATTAATGAAGATTAAATGAACTTAAAATTTAGCTCTTCAGGGGCACTAGATATGTTTCAAGTGCTCAATGGCCACATGTAGCTTGTGGCTACCATATAGGCACAGTGCAAGTTTAGAGAGCGAGGAAGCCACTGATGAAGTCAGAGTCTCAAAGGTGACTTCCCTCTTCTCTTTAGCAAACCAGTGGCAGGAATGTCAAGCATGGCCAGAGAGAAAATGATTTTCCAAATTCCTTATGTCCCCGTTGAATATCTCAAGAGGCAGGCTTTGCCGCTAGATGAGAGGTCTACCAAATGCCTGGGGAGAAGGAAGTTATGCAGAGAAGAAAAGAAGTCCCAAGGCCCACTCTTGTGTTCCCAGTGGATTCTAGGAGAAGAGAGAAAGAAGTAGGACAGACAGCTGGAAGGAAAGGTTACATCTTCCCTGAATGTGACCTTTGACCAGAGTGAGGAGGTATGTCCCTGGGTTAAGGGAAGTTCCGGGATTGAATAGAGGGGTTGGCACCATGGGCTGCCCACCTCCTTCTCCCCAGTCCTCAGGCACTGACCTAAGAGAGGGGGCTGCCTCATTAAAGTCAACTTAGTGGATCACCATGGTCATACAGAGACAGGGCCTGGGTTTAGCTTCCTGGAGTCACCCCCCCCCCAAATTCCTTTGTGGCACCCACATGATGCAGAAATTCCCACCTACTCACCAGCACCAGGGGCCTCCGAAGGAGACTAACTTGTGCGACACAAGCTTCCCATAGGGACGTCTTAGTTTGAGTTGTCTCAAAAACACAACCTGAGATCAGGACTTGGGTGCAGGTCACTTGCTTGGAGTTGATCCCAGAAAGCAGGAAAACGAGACAGGAAGGGAGGAAAAGCTCATAAAGCGTGTACAGCTGGGGCTCCATTCATCTGGGGACCCTCTGAGGAACTGTGTAGAATGTGCCTCAGAACTGTCCTCTCTGAAGGTCAGGGGTCTGGGGCATTTATCTCATCTCCCACCAGTTGAGGATTACTCCCAGGAAAGCTTACTTCTTCTTA